GGATTTGAGGCTGGCACTGGAGGAAGAGGAGGAAGGAATTTGCTGGGGGGGGTGAGGCTGGCACGTACCTGAAGGAAGAGGAGGAAGGAATTTGCTGGGGGATTTGAGGCTGGCACGTACCTGGGAGAGGATGCAGGGATCGGGGTTGGGTGCACGCCTGGCTGAAGGCACAGCAGCCTTTGTTAAAGTCTTGGGGGCTTTTTGCTCTGACCTTGCCAGTTCTTTTTCCCAGCTGGCTGGTGAGTCTGGGAGGGCTGCCCAGCCTGTGCCAGGGCACGACCTGGTGCTGCTGCCTCCCTCCTGTGCCAGCGCCCCGTGCCAAGGATGGGGCTGGCAGGGAGCAGGGCAGGTTCTGTGCCCGGCAGCGTGGCTCTGTGGCGTGGCACAGGGGCTCTGTCCCTCGTGGCCACGCAGCTGAGGGGCTCCCCAGGGCTCTGGCTGGCCCAGAGCAGGCCCAGGAAGGCAGGGAAGCTGTGAGGGAATGAACTGCAGAGTCTGGAGCAGATGTGAATTCCTCAGGGATCAAAGTCGTGCCCGGTAGCACAACACGAAAGCATAAAAACAACCTGGGATGAGCACTGGGCTGCCAGCAAAGGGAAAACCTTCCCTTTCCAGCCCCCAGCGCTGATCCCAGCCCACCCTCTGCTTCCTGGGCACAGGCTGGCATAAATCGAGGCTCTCCTTTGTTTTTGAGAGCAGCTTGGATCTCCCGCAGGATCCCTCCCCGCGCATCCCCAAGGCGGGCAGGGGGGAGGGCACGGCCACGCGATGGTTAACAGCGGCTTGATTTCCTAAATTGCTCCTTATAAAACGAGCAGCACGTCTGGCGGGCTCGTCTGCCCATGATTACAGCTAATTACGATCGAGCGGCCACCCCGAGCCCCGTCACGCCGTTTAATTGCCCGTTATTCATCGCCCCGGCCGGGCGCAGCAGCACTTGGCAGCCCGGCGGCCGCGGCCCCGGCTAATTGCGAGGCCCCGGGGATTAGGGCAGGTGATTACACACTTCACGCTGTAATTACATAAGCATCGCTTGGCTGCTGCCCCGGCTCGGAGCCGAAGGTCAGCGCGGCGTTACCTGAGATGAATTGGAGCTGCCAGCGGCGCGCGGGCGGCGTTGGCGTTGCAGGCGCCCGATCGATCCGCGCCGCGCCGCCAGACAGCGCCGGCTCCGCCAGCACGGGAGAGGAGAGCAGGGCAGGCCCGGCAGGGGACGGGGATGGGCACAGGGGCACGGAAAGGAGGGATTGGGAGCGCTCGGAGTTGTGCGGTGGCTGCACAGAACGGGGATACAGCTGTGCTGGGAAGGGCTCTCACTTTGTGCCCAGGAGTCCTTGGCTGGCTTTCCATGGGCTGATCCCATGGTCATGAGCTGATCCCATGGTCATGAGCTGATCTCATGGTCATGAGTTGATCCATGCCCTTAAACTGATCCATTTCCATGGGCTGATCCCTGCCCTTGAGCTAATCCATGCCCATGAGCTGCTCCATGCCCATGAGCTGACCCCTGCCCTTAAACTGATCCATTTCCATGGGCTGATCCATGTCCACGAGCTGATCCATGCCTTTAAACTGATCCATTTCCATGGGCTGATCCATGTCCA